CCCGAAAAATGCACTTTGGTGGCTCGGGAGCGGTCTCTAAGAGACTTGTAGTGTCTTTCATTTCATTTTCATTAATCTTAAAGTAGTTAGGATAGTTGAACATGGCCGAAGACACTACCGCGTCTCCTGATAATTTTATTTATTGCGAAAAATATTACCTCGACCGGGAGTCGAACCAGGATCTCTAGCATTCCGTGCGAATGTCCTAAAAGGCTTTACACCACCGAGGCCTTAGTAATATTCTTCGTAAAAGTCAAGCATTAAAGATCCAGCTCCATTTTGTTATATTTATGACTAACATTTCGTTAGGCTCATTTACCAATTCTTTGATAATTACTTGTGGAACTTATATTTTTACTGCACTCTCTGTGATGTTTAGAATACTCACGGGCATTCAAAATCGCGGGATTCTACTAAAACTACTTTTACTTGTTCTACTTTTAACGTTATCCGCTTAAATGGATCGAGTTTGAATTTTGAATTACCTATCTGGATTTGTTTTTTAAGATAGTCGCGTGTGGTAATGTTTTTTAATAAAAACGGCTCCTATATCGTCGTATTCGCACACAGCTTTGTTGTTTTTTACAACGTAGAAGGGATATTTGATTATGCCATTTCGCATTTTGATCGTTACGTATTTTTTCCTAGTGTTGTAACAGTATGACCCGTGATACCAACAAACTTGATTTTCTCTTTAGTCGAGTCGTATCTTTCTCGATGCTCTCTTGCTTCACATGAATAATCCGATATTTGGTAGTAATGCGCGCTATACGAATCGGTTTCTTTGCGATTCCGAACTTCCTTACAAGTTATTTTTTTGCTGCTATGTGTATTATTGGAATTATTTCGAGTCGTTTGATTTACATTTGTCCCGCCTTGTCGCATAGCGTTATCTTTCGCAGGTTGGCCGTGCAACGACCAGCATTGCGACCTTGTCGCGCACGTGTCCGGTTTTCCTGCAGTATTTACAATATTTATTTACAGCGTTCATTCTCGGATGTCCTTCAGTTTTTGCCAATGTAAATCTATTACGTTAATCTCATGTGTCGTGGCCTGCAGTCTTCACGCATTTCTAGCGTTGAGGAGTTGAAGTTTATTTTATCGTGCTGCGTTGATTTTATTGTTATTTTGATAGCTACTTTGATAATACGGACCTCTCATTTTTTCTTCTGCGGTCACCTACGACTCTTTCCTGCACGTCTTATAGTTTTGCGAACAAACAATTAATTTAATATCATTGTTTAGTTCAATTTGAAAATTCTGTTTCAGTAAAGAGCTTGAAGTTTAATCATTTTGAGTATCGTTTGTTGCTGCAGTGTTTCTCTTTTACCATTGATTTGTATAATTCTATGACTAGCACATCTACTCGGGGTTCGAAATTTTGTGGGCCTTCTTCATTTTTCTGTGAGTTTAAGTGAATTAAATTCTATTTGTACATACGTAGTGTTTCATTTGCTGAGATATTCGCTCGAGTTCGGTTTGTAATTCAGTTCAGAGCTACGGACGTCGCGTCGGAGATGTGAAAATCAAATCATTGCCTTTCCTTTAAGTTTGCTGCATACGATAGCTTTTAATAGATTATTCGTCGAAAAATTAATGTTTTCCATGGTATAGTTGCTTATAATTAAGAATTCTCGAACGCGACTTCGCGAGGTACCGTCGAATTCTGGTATCATGTCGCGCGGCTCTTTTAATCTCAAGTACGCCAGATTTAACTTCCAGACGCCAGACTAGGTTCGAATGTCTTCTCGTATGCGCCTGTATATTACATTGCAAAACGATTGTAGCACTTTTTTTTCGATGAGTTTCGGAATTGCAATGCTCGTAAAGAGGTTTCACATAAATGGCCCTTATATTTTAATCCCTTCTTTCGTGATTTTTCTATTTATACTTCATCATTAGCATGATTTTATTAAATAGTTAATTACATTAAAACTTACCTATCTATAACATGTCCAGTCAAAAGTTTTCCGTTACTGCATGCCATAGCCACTTGTGTACTATCGCTGGACCAAGCTATGCTATAAATGCTTCCAGTATTCACTTTTTCTATAGAGTGTAACCACTGAAACATAATAAATGAATTTATAAGTTGCAATTGTGATACCATACATTAAAATAATCTCTATGAATTTTTATTGAGTCAATATATCATCATACACTCCTTACCAGGTATGTAAATATGAAACCGGAATTTTTTTATAGAAAGTACACGTTTATTGCATGAAAATGATAAAAAATATTTTATTCGAAGTATTGCCCATCGCTAACTATACATTTTTCCCACCCATCGACTCTCACCCCCCTCTCCTCTGCAAAGCGGCGCACGACTCTCACCTTCGACTCTCACCCTCCTC